GGGGGGAGGGGAGGAGGCCCCTGAGTCATTGCCTGGAGCAGAGAGGCCCCAGGGAGCTGGGACCAGGCACCTCTGCAAAACACTGTGAACAAGTAACAAGTCCTGTCTCTGAGATGTGGGGCTATTTGTTACAGCTGCTGGGCTTCCTAACAGTCTGTCTCCCCACTCACTGTGGGCTTCTCGAGGACATCAGTCCCCCAGGACCCAGCACAGAACCTAGCCAAAACAAGGGGCTCAAGGGCTTGTGATGAATGAACGACCAAACAGCCCTACGTCTGCAGAGTCCCCACTTCCCAAGAGAGAGCCAAGGCCTTCTCCCCCTGCACCGACACGCATTCGCCGAGGGATGTGCGGCACGGGAGCGGTGTTGTGCGGAGCACAGCGGCTTTGTGGGGCAGAACCGCGTGGCAAGGGTGGCACGCGGTTTATAGTTAAGAGCTGTCCCGGTGGACCAAACCAAGGCCCAGAAATGGGAGAGTCCCAGTTCCCCCACTGGGCTCTGTCTTCCCCCAGAAACGTCCACCAAAGCTGCTCAGTCAACAGTTGTGCACAGAGTGCCCACTCTTGGGCAAGGAGCAGCCCTTCTAGGCCTCACCCTCCTCCTCTGTGAAATGGGACAATAATGGCGACGTGCAAAATAAGCCCAACTGGGAAAGTCACTGGGGTGCAGGAGAGACCCCACTTCTCACCACTCGCTGACGTCTGCTCTGGACCTCTGGCCCAGGCCTCTCTCCTCACAGCCTTCATTGACTCATGTGGAAATTCTGAGATTGGCTGAGCAAAGACCACCAAGCACTCCTGCTCAGCCATCCTCCATCCTTAGACACAGGCTCTGGGACAAGGCTGTCTATGTCCTGGCCTGGAACACCTGTTTACAGAACACTTAAGCAGGGATTGGCAAACCGTGGCCCTCAGGCCTGTTTCTGTAAATAAAGTTTTATTGGCACACAGCCACGCCCATCATTTACATTTTTGGCCCTGGCAGCTTCTGCACTACAAGGGCAGGGTTGAGTGGTTGTGACGGAGAAGGTGTAGCCAGCAGAGCCTGAAATATTTACTATCTGCTCCAAGCCCTGTGTCAGGGGGGAAAAGGGTGAGACAGATGTGAGCCCAAGGAGGGCATGTGATCAGAAGGGGGAGCGTGCGGCCCCCACTGATAATCATCTCTCTGACAACAAGGCTCCTAGGCATAAGGAGAGGTTATAAACCTGCCTGACATCCTGCAGTGGGCCCCAGGACCCACTGGAACCCATACCTGAAGGCTGTTTGACCCCAGCCTGCCCATCCAGTGGGGGTGTGGGGCGGTATGCATGCACGCCCTCAATCATAACTCAAGCAGCTGCTTCCAAGGAGGGCTCAAGGGAGCCTGAAATTAAGAAATGGAGACACTAGGCAACACAAAGTTATCGCTTGTGCCTTATTAAAGAAGCTTTGGTGGTGGAACCCCGTTACACATCGCGAGAATGTGAAAGGCCAACATGACCAAGTGATGAGGATGAGAGAGGCTCGCAAACGGCACCCGCAAGAGTACAAGTTGGTTCAACTCACTTTGGGAAACCGCGTGGCAGCTGCTCACATAAC